ATGGACATTATATAGTAGATAAAAATAATTTGACATAATTAATAAATCGTTTTTTGTTTTCTTAAAAAATTCGTAATTATTTATTTGCCAACCCAATAAATGATTTCGAATAAATTATGTTATTAAAATCTTTTGTCATTTCTTCTTCTTCAATTATATTATTATAACAATGATTATATTTATTTTATTGAATTTATTTAAATTTTTAAACGATAAATATTATTTGATTGATTTCCTGCACCTAAAAAAAAAAAATAAAATGGCACTAGTTTAATAAATAAAATTAATAATTATATATTTTTAAAAAATTTAAATAATCACTTTAATTTTTTTTTTGATGTTTTTTATTCTACATCACTTAATATATCTAAATAAATTTTTTTTTGAATTCACATTGAAATATTTCTTTTTTTTTTTTTTTTTAATTAAAAATTCTTTTTACGTACAAAAAAAAAAAAAATATGAATGTTAAAAAGAAAACAAAAATACTGTTTGTTTTATTATTTATGAAAAAAAAAAAAAGATTTTTTTATTTACAAAAAAAAAAAAACCTTTTTTGAATCACAAAAATTTTTATTTATTACCTTTTTTAATTAATAATTTTATTTTGAAATTTTGATTTGCAAATATACAATACAAGAGAATTGATTTATTTATTTATTTTGATCCAATTGCCATAATAAAGTTAACCAACTAAATATATTTCTCAAAAACTGAAAAAAAAAAAATGATAATAATAATAATTTCAATAAATACTTTAAAAATTTAATTTAATTTCTAAATATTTAATAAAACTTACGACCATAAATGTATTAACGTTTACTTCCATTAATTTAGCACAGCTTAACAATGGCGGCGATTGAGATTTCATTATCATAAATTTAAGATCTTTTTGAAAAACAATTGGCATGTCGTACCAATTTAACGAATATACTGTCGAACCAACTTTAAGACACTAATTTAAAAAATTTATTTTTATTGTCATGATTTATTTTAAATAAAAATTATTTTATTTTCACGTACCTGACACGTGATTTTTTCAGCGTATTTACACGTCAAAAACACTTCGATAAAAACTAAAAATAATAAAGCAGTTTGAAAAGAAATATCCGGAGAAAGATTTTTTGATCCCTAAAAACAAAATTGAATAATAATAATAATAGTAATATAATAATAATAAAATAAAAAAATACCTTTAGACACAAGAGTGTGTTAAAAATAACTATAACTGCTGCTGCAACCATGTGTAATAACATTGTATAATTAAAACATCGTTCAAAATTATTCGTATACCTGAAAAAACAATTGAAAATTTTCAGAATTATCAAACAAGGTACAATGTTTAAAATATAAAGTTTGTATAATTACTCGATTAATTTAAGTTGACGTTTAACATATTTTTTCAATAAATTTTTAGCTTTTATAAATTTATCTTTATCATCGATATCGTTTTGTATGATTTCGTCGTTTGAGTCGTTGTGTGAATAAATTCCATTTAATTTTTTTAAATCATTTATAAATATATTATATTCTCTATTCAATTGAATAAATATTGTAAAAGTACTTAATTCTATTTCGACGATAAATAATACTCCTATAACTCCGGTAAAACTTAGAAAAAAATATAAAGCCAAATATTCGTTACTTTCTGGATCTATTGTAAATGGAAATTGATCGAGTGAAACTGGTACCGGAAATTGTCTCGGTCCCCAAAGGTAACTGAAATATCTAATAATTATCCAAACAGGTGTAAACGTCAATGGTATAACGTAAAAAAACATTCTGTAATGAATTAAATCTTCCAATGCATTTATTTGTTGATTTCTATGTTCTTCATCCATATTTGCCAACATGTCTTTATGTAATTTCCTTCTCAACCGATCTAAAATCCTATGATTTTGATATAAGATTATGTCTTTGCCACACGTTCCAAAATAAATGGCGGTCACGCAAACGTTCCAACTTAATTTTTCCAAATCGTAGAAAACATTGAAGAAATTTACAACGCAAAAAATAAAACCGATAAATCGACTTATGTTAAAAAAAAGCATGAGTAAAGCTCTGATGGATGCTTTATCAGGATTCGCCGGATAAAAATTCCATCCTCCGTGATATGCTAAAATGTTAAAATGGCGTGAATATGGAGAATCGCACAATGGCATTTTCATTTTTATTTTTTTAAATTCTTTTTCTGCAAAATAATTTGATAAACCTAAATCCCATTGTAATTTTTTCATTTTGATACACTGATAATAATTTTAAGTTTTTTTTCTTTTTTTTTTAAATTTTAAACTTTTAAAATTAATATAATTACTAATAACTTTTACAATTTGATTTTTGAAGTCTATACTTGAAGTGTTTTTTCCTTTCTTAACGAACACAAAATGCATATTGAAAAATATGTTTCAATTAAATTAAACCTTGTTAAAAATATTTAAAATTAAAGATGTAATATTAAATTACAAAGGGTAAATAATCAAAAAGTACAAAAGCTCCGTTAAAGCTGTAATCATAAGCGAGACAAAATGAATAGCCGGTGATATTCTATTTCTAGAAATTCTTAGAATCACCCACAAAGCGTTTAACGTATATACTTTTTTTTTTTTGCACAATAAGCAAAATTTTTTTTTATAAACGCGATAATTTAAGATAAAACGTTTTTAACAAAATGAATTAATAATTTTCGTGTCAGCACTTACATCAAATTCTTCTCTGTCACACAACCCGATGATAATTATTATCTGTACTAATGTAAAAATTAAATAATTATGTGCATTAAAAAAAAACTGACATTTATACCTGGTGAAAGCGTCGACTTTTGAAAAAAAATTGTCGCCAAAATTTTAAAATAAACCGTCGACTAATTTCGCTTCTCTTTTAAATAAATTTCAGTTGCTGCAAAAAAAAAATTTGTTTAACGTTTTAAATATTTCTTTCGATTAAATTTTGCAAAGTTTTAAATATTATTGTTATATTTAATCATGTTGTTTTAATGGAACAGAATAATTTAACATTCGCCATGTTTAAGAATATTTTAAATTAAATTTGATATGATTTTTAAAATTGATTGAATGCTAGCATCACCCTAAGGATTATAAAAAAAAGTATTTGAAATTTTTTTTTTTTTTTCGTAAACTTTTTAGATGATAAATTATTTCTTATTAATAATTGATAAAATAATAATTTTTTAGGTTTTTTTCTATTATTATTTACCAAAAAAAAGCATTTTTAATCATACGAGAAGATGGCAGAAAATAAAACATTTGCACACACCTTATTTGTTTCAATTGATGGAATCGTAATTAATTAACATTTAATTAAAAAAAAAAAAAAACGACGCAAAGGACAAACAATTTCTTGAAAACATTCAATTATTTATATTAAAAAAGGAGTATTGTTTGTGGTTCAACTTAATGACAACATGAATGATTAATTTGTTTTTGGTAGACATTTAAAAATTTTTTTTTTTTTTTTTCAATGAGTTTAGTTTGTCGTAACTGTAATTATGGAAGAAAATAATAATTTATCTAATTCTCCATTTTCGAAATATTTTGATTATCTTACATACGTGGGAGCTTGGGAGTATAAAACAAAAGTTCGTTGGATTGAAATTGCATTTTACACATATAGAGTATTTTGTTTTTTCGTGTTTGCAGTTGCAATTTTATTTCAATTACTCGATTTATGGATAGCAATAGGAAGTTTGGAAAAAATGACTTACAACATGTCGACGTCAGTCATTGTGCTCTACACAATACTAAGACTTATTGCTTTGTTAAAAAAGAAAAAAACCGTCGATAAACTACGAATAAATCTTTGGAATGATTTTAACAAGAGTGATGACGAAACGGATGAAACAATTAAAAAAATGGCCGTCAAAAGAATGGATTTCGCAGCAAAAATGTTTCACATCGCGGCCATTATTTTTTATCCAGTTTGGATAGGTTTTGCATATTTCAGTTATCTTTGGGGTCCCAGGGAATTACCCTTTCCCATATATTATCCAGCTGATTACGATGATCCCGTTGCTTACGACGTAGTTTTTGTCCTTGAAATAATAAGTGGAGCAATAATACTATGCGTTTCAATAGAAATTAATTTACTCGTTTTTGGAATTCTTTTACAAATTTCAGCACAGTATAAAATATTACAGAAAAATATTATCAAGTTGGGTGAAAATTACGTTTTTAATTACGACGAAGAAAATTACGACTCGATTGAAAAAAATTATTATTATTATTCTTTTGAAAAACGTGAGAAAAAATTAAAAACCGAAGCATCGCTTAAGAAAATCATTTCTAGACATTTGACATTACATCAGTAAGTTTTTTTTTTTCATCAATCAACTCACACAAATTTAATTATTATTTAAAATTAATTTAAACAATTTAAAAAAAAAAAAAACTAATATCAAAAAATTTATTTTTAAGATACGTTAAAAAATTCGAATCAACCTTCAACGGTTCTTTTTTTATTCAAGTTTTGGGTGGATCGACATTAATAACACTTAACGGTTTGCTATTGATGAAGGTGCAAAAAAACAAAACCTAAAGTTTTTTTTTTTTAAAATTTTTAAATTATAAGTAATAATATTATTTTAATTGTTGTTGTTGCAGATGGCTTATACGATTAATCAAAAAATTGCACAACAAGCTGTTTATCTTGTTCTATTGGTTGTTACAATGTTTTACAATTGTTTATTTGCAACGGTTCTTATAACTGAGGTTTGATTTTTTTTTTTATGATCAAACATTTAATAATTTAAATTTTCAAAGAAAAAAAAAATCAATTGGTTTGTTTTTAAAGTATAATAACGTGGCAAATGCTGCTTATTCTGCTTCTTGGTATGAAATGGATACGAGTTTGCAAAAATATTTCATAATGATAATACTACATGCACAAAAACAACCGAGAATCACGGCTGGAAAACTCATATTAATGGATTTGGATACGTTTTTATCCGTACGTGTTAATAAACAAAAAAAAAAGAAAATTTTACAAAAGAAAATTTAAAGAAAGAAAAGTTTAAAATATTTTCTTTACGTTTCAGCTATTGAAAAACATATACAGTTGGCTTATGTTTTTTTGGCAATTGGAATCTAAATAATAAGAAACGCGAGGACATTTTTTTTTTGTTAATGAAAGAAAAAGGAAAAATAATAATAATAATTTTCGTTAATTTATTTTACGCCCCTGAATAATGTCAGGGGTAAAATTATTTAACACGCGATAATAAAATTTTCATTATCTAAAGTTTTTTTTTTTTTTTCGGAATTTAAATAATAAATGATCATCGCGTTTATAAGACGAATGAAAAATTAATTTTTCAAAAAAAAAAAAATGAAATTAATAATAAAAATTTTCATTATTTTCAGTGGTGTAAAAAATTTTTTTTTTCTTGCTTAAAATTTAAATAAAAAGAAAGGAAAAAACGCGTTTTTTTTTTTTTTTTAATTAAAAAAAAGATGGCCTCCTTATATATAACGGAATTTTCTTAGGCAAAATTTAAAAAATGGCGTTGAAAGAGGATTTCGTTTGGTTTTTTACCCGAAAAATGTACAAATAATATTATTAGATGAATAAGATAAAATATCCCATAACCAAAAAGTCGATTAACAATGTGTAAAATGTTACCTGGAGGTGTAATCCTGTAATTTAACTACTCGAAGGAGGCTGGGTATAGAAGATGTTTTAGGGGCGTGGCTTCTGAGATTGGATTCCCAACGTTGACTAGGCGTCCGCTGAGGTAAACATTCAACTAGGATGTCTTGGAAGAGTTCGAGGTCCAGCCAGGTCGAGTCCTAAAAAGAGAAATAATCTGAGTATAACCGAGTACTTGATTCAAAATAGGGTAAATCCGGAGCTGCGACGTGAAAGGAAGGCAGATGAAAGATCAACGGGATTCGCTACCCCCGTGCATCTCTCTCTCCCTCTCCCCCCGGAAACTCGCAGTCTGCGGAAGAGGTAGGAAGCAGCTCGGGATCGTCTTTCGAAGGGTAAAAAAGGAAAGTACCGGAATTTTCCTCAGGTGGGATTCCCACTTTCGCGGGTGTGGACCTGATGGTTCTGGCTTAGGAGAGGGTGGAGCCTAAAATGTAGGTTGTACTTCTGCTAGCGCCCCTCCCACCGGAAAAGGGTAGTGGTTTCGGCTGAGTTCCATACTTTTCCTACTTCCGGTCGGAAGGTTAGTGCATTTCTCCTGGATTAACAAAAAAAAAAAGATTTTTCATTAGAAAACATAATTTTACTCCGACATTTGTTTTATTTTATCATCGAAAAAAATAATTAATAATTTAATATTATTTTTTTTATTATTAATTTATTTATTATAACCGAGCATGTGAGAATAATAATAATAAATAAATAAAAAAATAATTTTAAACAAAAAAATTTTTAATTTATATTCGAGTTAAAAAAAAAAATTAATTTCACTCAATTTTTTTTCTTCTTTTTTTTTTTTAAATAAATAAAAATACATTATTAGAAAATAAAAAAAAATTCAATTAATAATAATAATAATAATAATAATAAAATATTTTAATAAATAAAAATATATAAAAAATTCACAAACAACTAACTAATTGCCACAATTGTTAATCATTTAATTATTTGTTTGTCGGAAAAATTATGAAACCTTTTAATACATTAAAAAATCAAATTCATTTTTATTATATTATTTTACATAAATCTCATTTTATTTAAAATAAATTTCATATGTAATATATATATTACATAATAAAAATAATTATTATTTTTTTTTTCCTCCCTCTTTTTCAATTAAAATACTTTTATTTATATTTCAGCGTATATAAATAAATAAATACATAAAAAAATTTAATATCGTTTTATAATAAAATATATATTCTACCCTTTCTCTTTATTTTTTTTCCCCCTTGAATTGTAAAAATTAACAAATGAAAAAAAAATTATTATTTTTAAAAACTTCCTTTGAAAACAATAATAATAATAATAATAATAATAATAAATGAAAGTTATTAAATAAAAAATAAAAAATTAATAATAAAAAAAAAAACGTTATTATTATAACATATACACAACTAACTCCATTTTACTTTTTTTTTTGTTAAAATTATAAATAATTTAAAAAATAATTTCATTTTTATTTTCTCGGTCTCAACCTTGGAATTTCCTGGAAAAAAATGGAAAATGGAAAATAAAATGAAAATTTTCTGGAGAAAAAAAAAAAAAAAAAGTGAAAATAATAATTGATACTCACGACTTCGATGGGACTCGTTGCCAAATCCGTGAGTTCATCAAAATCATTTTCCGCAAATAATTTCTTATAACATTTTCCTCTTTTTTTAACCGACGATATTTCCTTTTCCGGTTCTTTTTCATTTTCCTTTTCTTTCTCTTTGTCTTTTTTACCCTTTTCTTGTTTTTTCCTTCCCCTACTCGTGTGTTTGATCGTCGACGGATGTATGCTTTCTTCCAACATATCAATTTTTTTCCTCGTCGATTTTATTTGAGATTGGGGTTGTCCCATCGAAACCAACGAAAGATTTTCCAAACAAATATTTTTTCCCACTTTAACCGACGTTTCGTTTTGTGCCATTTCCGTTTCCGTCATCGTTTCATCGCGATTAGCAGTAGTGTGCTTTTCCAACGTTAATTTTTCCAATTCCGATTTTAATTTTTTTATTTCTTCATCCTTCTCCGTTAAATTTTCCACGTATTTCTCTCTTTCCATTTCCATTTCCACACATTTATTTTTCTCTCTCATCCTTTCATCCTCTTTGACGAGTAAAAATTCCTTTTTCATTTTTTCCTTTTCTTCTTTCAATTTAACTATTTCCGTTTCTTTCGTTGCTACGACTTCTTTCAAAACTTTATTCTCACGCTCTGATTCTTCCGTTTTATTTTTCAATTCATTTTCCAGCGTATCCGTTTTTTTTGATAGCTTTGAAAATTCATCCATGACTTGTCGTTTATTTTCTTGAAATAAATTTTTCATTTCGATATTTTCCTTTTCCGCTACTTCCACTTTACACTTAAGAACTTGAATTATTTCGTTATTTTTCCTGTAATTAATTAATAAAACTACTAAATTAGATTTTTAATTTAATCCGATCGATCAACTAACTACATTTTCTTTACTTAAAATTTAAATCTTAATTTAATTAAAAATAAAAAAATTATAAATAAATTAATATAAATTTATTATTATTTTTTTTTTTCTTTTTATAAAACAATAAATTTTATAAAATGAATATTTTAAACAATTCTCATAAAATAAATATTTTCTTTTTTCTAAATAAAAAACAAAATTTTTCAATTTAATTAAAAGAATTTTACTGTTTTGATATACGAGGGTGCGCACGATTTAAATTCTCATTTTAAAAAATATATTTTTTATTTTTCATCCCTCATCTTAGGTAACAATAATAATAAATAAATAAATAAATAAAGTAAAAAATCTCAGGGATTTACGAATGATTGATGATCAGCAACACCATATCATCCCAGTAAAATAAGAACAAAAATTATTAAATCAATCAAAACAAAAGTAAAAGTAAAAGTAAAAGTGAAAGACATATTTCTCAACACATCAAAAAATAAGATAATCAAATAATTTCGACCTCTCATTCGAATCCGTTTCTTCGATTTGTTTATTGTATTTCCTTTCGAGTTCGATTAATTTCTCTTCGAGTTCTTTTCCCCTTGCACATTGACCGACGAGATTCTTTATTTCTTTAAAAAAAAGAAAAAAAAAATTATAAAATATTTTTTACATTATTTTTATGACGATTCAATTTATAAATTAATCAATACCTTTTTGCAATGATTCTATTTCTGAATTCAATTCGACGCATTTTTCTTCCAGAACAATTTTTTCCTTGTGTAAAATCTCCGATTCCAGTTTCACGCTCTCCAGTTCGTCATTCATTTCGGATATCGTTCGTTCCAATTCTATTTCTTTTTCGCATTTATCAACTTTTTCCAAATTTTTAATTGCATCTTTTAGACTTGATATTTCACACCGGCACTTGTCTAATTCTGATTTTAAATTTTCTTTTTCCGATTCGGAAGCCGAGTATTCCGTGTTTTTGTTACTCAATTTCTCGGAAACTTCCCTGAGTTGCTCTCGAAGGTTTTCCAATTCTTTCGTTTGTGAATCGATTACGTTTGATAAATTTTTTTCATTTTTATTTTCTCCAGCCAATTTCAACTCCGACATTAATTTTTCGTTCGTTTCTTCTAGTTTTTCGATAATGATTGTTTTTTGCGAGAGAATTTTTTGAAATTCGGCAATTTCCCGACTGTGATCAGCAACAACATCCCGCTGTTCTGTCAAGTACTGTTCCAGTACGTCATTTTCATTTCTTAAATACTTGTTATTTTCTTCGAGTTCGTTGTAATCTGATGCTGCTTCGTCTAATAAAGTTTTATAATCCTGCGCGACAAAAAAAATTTTTTAAAAACGTTTACTCAAAATTTACAAAAAGTCAATTGATAAAAATAAAACGAACCGCCATTTTTTTCTTGGCTTCTTCCAGTTGTTTCTTTAATTCAACTTCGAATTCGTTTTCTCCCGCCGATTTAGCCTCCATGGTTCTCTTCATCTCTTCAATGACTCTATCTTTTTCAACGATTGTGAATTTCAGTGCAGAATTTTCACAGAGAACATTATTGTGTTGTTGAGTAAAACTTTGCATTTGTTCAGTTAGACCTGAAATTTTATTATTTAACGATTCGATTTCTTTTTTAGCTTCTTTTAATTTTTTCTCTTGATCTTCGTACTCTGTTACATCTTCATCATCCATCTTTTTTCTTTTACATTTTCTCAAAACTTCATAATATTTAATTATTCTCTTTTCTTTTTCTTCGTACATTTCCTCCAATCTTTCTTTTTCGCTTTCTAATCGGATCCTGCAATGAAAAAACACACAAACAAAAAAAAAAAAACAATCGTCATCTCATTATAAATTAAAAATAAATTTCAATTTTTTTTCTTACAAATTGTTTTCTCGTTGTTTTTTAAGAATTTCCGAAAATTGACTCGTTAATTCTTTTCTTATATCGCATTCAATTTTTTCATTCAAACTTTTTTCTTTGGACAATTCTTCTTTCAATTTATCAATAACGTTTCTTAATTCTTCTACTTCTGACGACACACTTTCTTCTTTCACGCTAAATTTTTCAATGGATTCAGCATCCCAATCGATTGTATTACCCATGTAACTTGACTGTGTGACAAAACGAGAAAACCTGGATTTTTTAAGTGGTCTCATAACTTTTGGCTTGGCGAAAATGTTTTGCGGAACAATTTTCTGAGCGATTGCGGAAAACTTTAGTACATTTAAGGTTTCATCGAATAAATTAGGTTCCGTGGTAACATTTACTATCAGTGAGAATTGTTCTTTACCAGTCACTGCATCTCGAAACAATTTTGTTAACTTGGATTCTCTGTAAGGAATGAGTTTTTTCTCCTTATTATTTTGATTTTCTTTAATGGTAGTCAAACACTTAACTAAAATCGAGAGTGAAGTGTTGATCGCTTTAGACTCCACAAGTCTATCCTTCATATTTAAAGTTTTTTTTGCACGTTCCATACCAGCCAAATCACAAAACGAAAACCTACTGATTACTGCATAAGAGGAATCGTGATTAAGAAATTTTGCTAAGGTAATTGTGAAAATACAATGAGAACGACTCGAGCTATTGTTTAGCGCTGTAGGAGCAAAATGAAGGTTGTTTCTACCGAATTGTAAAATTTGAAAAGCTTCGTGACCGCTCGAAACGTTCACATAACGTAAGTTTTTAATGAAAGTGTTTCCGTATTCGTCATCCCTGAAAGATAATTTTGTTCTACCAACTCGGTCATTTGGCACTTCTAACAAATCATAAACTTGTTCGTTGTAAATTTCAATCATGGAAATCCAAACGGCATATTTATAAGAACCTAAATCTATTTCTGAACACTCAGTATCAGTCAAACGCGATTGCATTTCTTTAAATGTCATATTTTCGTACATATCGGAAAAACCACTTGAAGAAGTGGTTGTTTGCATTGTTACATGACTAGCTTCCGGATATTTTTGACACTTATTTAAATCTAAGCTAAGGAAAAAGTTTTTATAACATGTGTTTTTTTTCAATTGTTCTTCACTAGGCACTATTAATTCATTATACTGATGTGGGTAATATTTGCAAAGTGGTATAATATTATTTTGAAGCCCTTTGAAAACAAAATCTAATGCTCTCGGTATGACTCCTGGGTGATCAACGTTTCCTTGCATGGTAAAAGTTTTTCCTGCACTAGTTGTACCATAGGCCATTAATAAATAATTTTCTCCCTTTAAAAACTTTTTCAAACTTTTCACTGCACATTTTTTAAATAAGTCAGCTTGTGTTATATCTTGATCGAGAATGGATGTAAATGTAAATCTGAAAAAGAATTTACAATATTTAGCTTTTTCAAACACTTCAATTATTTGTATAGAAAATAAAATGAATGCATTTATACTGTAATATTACTTGTGGATTAATTTTCCCACCCCGTTTGTGACATTTTTGTATGATACACTTTCTTTTGGAGCTTCTGTTTGTAAAGCTGTTGAACTCAGTACAGTATAAATAGATTCAACATTAGATGTTGATGGTTTTAATCGAAGAAAAACTTTAATTTTATCACCCATTGTTTCTGTAAACTCTTCTGACTCTAAATCTATTAAATTTTTAGAGCGTGGTCCAGACAGTTTTATACGATCATCCCAGCACTGAATACTTGGATATCTTGGAACTAAATAGGATATGTTCCCTGTAAAAAAAAATTGAAATTTCTTGCACCACTTATGTAACTTATTACTTATGCACTGCACCAATGATGAAATTGTAATTAATAATTTATATGTTTATATATCATGTAACTTAACATTAAAAAATAAATCAACTTTAATTAAATTTAATAATATTTAAACAAGTAAAACAAAAATAACAGTTTTTTAATAATAATAAAAAATTATAAGCGTTTTTGTCCTGTTCTTTTCTACATGAAACTATTTGAAAAATTCTCACACACAATGTATGACTCAATATTATTTTACAAAAATAATTAATACATTATTTTTACTATAACAAATCATATTTACTGTAAAATATAAAACAAGACGATTTATGAGAAGAGCACGATTAAACTTGAGGTAAATAAAAATTTAGTGTACGCCACTTTAAAATTTGTTGACAAGACGCTAAATGACCTTAACAAGTTTCAACTTGTCTTGGGCCATTATAAAAAAAAAATTGATAAATCAACGACAAACTACCATTGTTAGAAAAAAAAACACCTTTATTGTTTATTACTTATAAAAATATATAATATTTAAAAAACATTAAAAGTAAAAACAATTACTTTATTAAATTTTCCTTGAAATGTATAAATATGAAGTAGGTAAAGCAAGGAAAATAAATAAATAAATAATTAATCTTGAAATACCATTTAGAATTTTAAATAGATATTAAAAGACACTTACTGTTTGTCATTTTAACTTTTTATACAATTCACATTAGCAGAGTAAAAATTAAATTTAAATTATCTTAAGTATTAAATAAAAAAACACTATAAGCGTCTCGTTATATAAAAAACCGTTAAAATAAATAATATGACGCGAAGGGAAATTTGTCGCAAGGTCATTAAAGTTCAAAATGAACATTCAAACGCATTAAATGGCGGCAATTTAAGATAAACATTTTATATTTAAGTGCATTTTAAACAATTTTTATAAAATTTAATACTGCAAACTACTAAAAAAAAAAAAATACTCCGACAAATTGATTGTACTTGGTTTATTTAAAAAAACAAAATTAAATATGTAAGTAATTACTGAATTTAATTTATTACAAGTTAAATAATATCATTGTAAAAAAAAAAAAAATCAAATTTTTTTACATTTAATATTTTAAATTTTTACAATTAAATTAAATATTGAATTTAATAAAATTTCGAAAAAAACGATTTGGGCTGATTAAATGAACACAGATTTTTTTTTGTTTATCATTTAGTTAATCTACGCTTAAATAAATTTATAAAAAAATTTTTCGAATTAAAGCTTTTAATTTGCTTACTTACTTTTTTTTAAAAAAAAAAAAAAAACATTTATTGATAATATTTAATAAAATTAAAAGCTAATTATTTTCTCAATACAAAATTAATTATATCAAAACACAGAAATTAAATTTTTTTAAATATCGATTATAATTATTAATTATTAATCATCATATTATTACCGTAAAATATAAATTATTAAAGTTATTAGGCAAAATAAAAATTATAAATTTGTAACTTAATTTATTTTTTAAAAAAAACAAAAGTGCTACCAACTTGACAATATTTTTTTTTTTACGTTAATGTTTTTTTAATAAAACTAATTTTAAATTATTTTTCTCGTCGTTTTTTTTTCCTTTTTTCCTTTTAAAGCATATTAAAAACACCTAACAAAAATTTTATTTTTCTTTTCAAAATATCATTATTTAAAAATACCAATATATATATACACATATATATATTATTATTATTATTTATTAAATTTCATGGAGCAAAAATAATAAGAACGCGAAAACGTTAGATAAAATCAAAAAGAAAAAAAAATTACAACAACATTTTCAAAGGTTTGTTTTTCCTTTTTGAAAACAAAAAAAAAAAAATTTCAATTTTTATGTTGATTATTCACAATTATTACTAAAAATTATTTGTCTATATATATATATGTATATATTTTATTAATATAAATTTGAATATGTATATTTATATTGTAATAATAAAAATATCAGTGCGACAATACCTGTAACTCGTACCGAGCTAATATAACTTCCGTCCGTGAACACAGGATATTGAAACGCGGCGAATGAACCTACCTGTTCCTTTTTTTATCCAATCATCAACATCATCATCATCATCATCATATAATTCCCATGAGAAAAATGTTTTGCAATTTTTAATTATTATTTTATTTTTGTCTTTTTTTTTTTTTAAAAAAAATAATTATTTTACTTTGTTTCGTATAAAGGATTTTTGAATATCTTTTGTTATGGTTGTAACTTTTTATGTCAATCGTAACTCTATTAATCGACAAACAAACATTTTTTGATTTGAAATTATTTTTAAATTAATTTATACAATTGGTTTTTTTTTTTTTTTTCTCTTCACATTTTTAAGACGAAATAACAAATGTATTTAAATAATAAATTTTAATTTAATATTGAGCAAAACATTCATCTTAAACACGATTACTCTCATCATTATCAGTTTTCAATAAATATGGATTTAAAAAAAAAAAAAAAAAAATTTTTTTGTGTTAGACTAAATTAATCCGCGCACGCTCACTTTTCCTGTGTTCACTCATTTTCCTCAAAAATTTTCACTTAATAGTCTCTATATAAGCCTAAACTACGCTTCTTTATTTGCCATGTCGGGATTTTCTACTACGATGTTGGGAACTTCCGGCTCGTCATGGCATGGAGTCGCCGTGTCTCTTTCGTATTGTATTGCGGATTGAGTAGTTTGTTCGATTGCTGTTTCTACAAGTGGTTCTTCGGGCTGCGGACAAACAACGTCTTTTCCCGGCTCCAATGATGGTATTTCTTCGATAGGCTTCTCGTCGTGACAAGGCGTCTCAGTGTCTCTCACAATTTCCTCATTTTCACTTTTTATTTCTTTTTCGGGCGAAGGTTTTTTACTCGTTTCCCCTCTCGATTCTTTAACATCGTCTTTATTCCACCTAGATTGTCTATCTCTAGACCTGTCTCCTCGAAATCTTGCATTTGCACCGCCTATTCCCGAACCACGTCTTGGACCGCCAGGTCGATCATCGTAGGGCGGCCTCAGATTATCACTGTGCGGTGGAGGACCTTGACCATCCATCCACATACCCGGCCTTCCTAAAAGGGAACGAGGTCCACGTGGGCCAAAAAGTGGAACTGAAATAAAATTTTAGTATGAATACACACATATTTTTTGTATTTTAATTTCAAGCATAAAAATTTTTTAAAAATTATTTATAAACCTGGTCCTGGACCGTGCGGTCCCATTAATCCTCTGGGCATAGGACCCATCATTCCTCTGGGACCGAATCTCATTCTTGGATCATCCATCGGATCTAAAAACATGGGTCCTGGACCTCGCATATCATCTGGACACATCAATTCATCCGGATGCATAATTGGTCCGCGCATTCCATCATGCATTAGAGGGCCTCTCATGTCGTCTGAAATCAATGGAGGACCATCGAAATGAGCTTCCATTAAAGGTCGCGGTCCCGAATGATCAAATCGACCTCGGTTCCTGTCACTTTGATCGGGTCCCAAAGGACCTCTACCGCGGGGATCAAAACCAGCTCGGCAGTCATCATCATTATTTAGTACGTCGGGGCCAAAACCACCTCTCCCAGAGAAATCGATTGGTCCTCGAGGTCCCTGAAGACCAAATTCTGGACGAAAAACATCTAATAAAGGTCCTCTAGCTCCAAAACCAGGTCTAGGTATGTCTGGTAATAATAATATTTAAAATTATTATATGTTAAATCACATTTAATTATGAAAATATTTAAAATAATGTGATTTTAAGTAAAAGAAATAAAAAACAACTTACTACAATTATTAAGATTCATTACTATAGGAGGACCATGACGGTTTAATCCTGGTTCAGACATTCTTGGTGGAATTCCACCGAACATTTGGTTTAATTGTTCAGTTCTTTGAGAAGCGTCACCTCCTTCAGCAATATTTCTCAGCCTCTGAAGCAAACTCGGTTTTTCTTCGTTTGGCGTAGATACTTCTACCCATTGATTAACGGGTTCTTTTTTAGTATCATCTCGCTTTCCATCATTCTCTGAATTTTTTTCTTTTCCTTTATCCCTACTTCTATCGCGATCACTTCCCCTACTACGATCCCTTCTATTATCTCTTTCTCTTGAACGATTCCGATAATCTCTGTCCCGACCTTTACTACGATCTTCTCTATCCCTTGAATGATTTCTCCTTTTATCCCTATCCCTATCTCTGTAGTCTCGATCCCTCTCTCTGTAATCTCTATCTCTATCTCTTCCTCGATCCCTATCCCTATCTTTTTCACGTTTATCTTTATCACGATCTCTGTCTTTTCCTCTATCATCACTATCTTTTCTACCGTCTCTACGTGATGTGTCATCCCCTAAAACTTTTTCTTGACCGTGAGGAGATCGATTTCTAAAAACAAAATCAAAATTTCATTACGTCATTCATTCGTAAAATGACTGCGGATAAAATTTTTTTTAAAAACCAACTTGGCCAATTTAGATTTTTCATCATCTCCTTCTTCTTCAAGATCCATTCTATCATCTTCTACCCCTACCATTCCTAAAGAATCACCTTGCAATGATCCGATTCCCATTCCACTTAATTTATCCTAAACGAAATTTACTTTTTAGTTTTTTTTTGTGTCGAATAAAAAAAATAAAAATAAAAAAACCATTTAAAACCAAATTATCTCACCGACTGATTAGCCATTGATGGCAACATTGTACCGGGAGGAAAAGGAGAAGCTCCAGAAGTAGGAATAGCCATCATTTGTTGTTGCATCAATAATCCTTGCATACTTGGCGGTGGAACACCTATTGGAAGGTTACTCATCATATTTGGCACTCCCAAACTTAATGGAGCTACAAAAAAAAAAAAAAATAGAATAAAATAAAAACATAAATTTTTTAATACATAGTTTTTTAATAAAAAAAAAAAAAAAAAAAAAAATGACTTACGCGGGAGACTAGTGAAAGAAAACGGAGGCATCATCAATCCAGGTTTAGTCATTAACGGGATTCTAGGAGTAATCTGAGGTAAGGCAATGGATGGATTGGAAAGTACGGAAACTCCTTTCGATGAAGGAGAAACATTGGGAGGTGGTTGTGAAGTGTCGATTGCTGGCGTAACCGGTGAATTGGATGCAGTAAGAACCGGTGGTGGAACAGTCATTACTGTGGGTAAAGTGGCAGCAAGAACTGGAGGCACAGGTGGAGCAGGAATACCTTCGGGAAGAGGTATATATCCTGGTACCGCAATACCTTCTGAAAAACAACAACATTTTATTAATGAAAATAAAATTACACATTTTTGGCATTTAATTTAAAAAAAAAAAAAAAAAAAAAAAAAAAAAAAAACTCACTTAATTTATTCTCAGCCTCTATTTCATCTTTTCTTCTTTGCAATTGTTCTAAAATAGTTTCTTTCAAACTTTCCGGCATTGTATCTTCATCTAAGGAGCCACCTTCTTCTAAAGCAACAAAATCCGTTTTTTTACTAAGCCTATTCCACGGAATATAAGATACGCCTAAATCGATTTCCCAGTAATCTTTATAATCGCGACCTTTGACTCCCTTTCCGGGAGCCCATGCCAACTGTTGAAAGCAAAAAATTTTAATTTTATTTTAAAACCGCAAAAAAAAAAAAAAAAAAAAATACACAAATAATACTCGAAACCTAAAAATATTACCATTATGTTTTTCCCGTGAAGTTTGTGATCTTTGAGTCTTGTAAGAGCACGAGCTGCATCTTGTCGACGGTTCATACAAATAAAAGCACATCCCCTCGGTGGTATGACGTCAATACTGACAATATCACCAAATTCTCCGAACGTGTCCGATAATTCTTCTTGTTGTACGAGTTTGGATAAATGACCGACCCATAATGTAGTACTGCATACTAAAATCATAAAATTTATGAAAATTTTAATCGCAACTCCCTAATAATTATTACTTAAAGTTACAACGAATCATAAAATTTTTAATCATTTTGTTTTTATGCCATCCTTTAATACCGGAAATAAACAATCAAAATAATTTCATAACCGAACGATTAATCGATTCCTTTTAATCCCTCACTTAAACCCCCATTTTATCTTACATAATCCAAAACTATAATCTTAATCGATTAAAACGTACAAAAAAAAATTCAAAAATAATTTTAAATTTATTTTAGTATTAAAAAAAATAATAATAATAATAATATTATGTGTAAAAATTTCACAATTTTTTAATGAAATCCCACAACAAAATAATTTATCGACATTGACATTTAAATCGTCATTTAAAACTTATACGATTCCAGTATTTTATAATATACATATATTTAATAAATTATTATTAATATTATTATTTTTTTTTTAAATAAATAAATATTAATTTATGATTTTAACAACAATAGTCTTAATGCGAGTTGAACTAAACCATCTATTTTTTAATATATGTTTCTTTCGTGTACATTCACATAAAATTTTTTTTTTAAATAAATAATAATAATAATAATAATAATGAAAAATGAGTAAATTTTCTTTGGTAAACTTTATATGTGTAAACATATAATTTTTTTAAAAATTGTTTATGTACATATAAGGGCGTGTTTTTTTTTTTTTTTTTTAAAAAAAATCATTTTTGACATTCAACGGTTTTTTTTCTGCGAAAATTTTCCAAATAACAACAACAACAACAAAAAAAAAAGAACCTGAAATGCATAAAATTAAAATTATAAACAAATTAATTTTATAACGGTACATTTTTATTATATTATAAAATTATTTTTTTTACAGTTAAATTTTTTTTTTTTTTTAATTTTAAAATTTTGGTGTATTTAAAAAAAAAAAAAAAAAAAAAAAAAAACAAACGTTTAACATAAAACACCAAAATTTGAAAAATTAAAAAAATTTAATAAAAATTTAACTGTTTATATTCAATTTTAAAAATAAATAAATATTAATAATTTTCAGTCAAAAATTAAAAAAAAAAAAAAAAAAAAAAAAAAACTTAAATAATAATAATAATATTGTAAATAGTAAGTCTCTCATTCATACTTTACCCACGTGACTCACGTAATACTCACCGCTCAAATGATTTCTTTTGATTGGCGGCAAACCCTTTTTCCGTCTTTCCCTATCTTTTTCCGAGTCGTAAAATCTATCCCTCGACTTCGATCGAGATCTGTGTCTTCTCTTTGGTCTGAGCGAACGGGATCGAGATCTCGAAGATCTCGAACGTGACCTACGACTTCTTCGTCTATCTCTCGACCTTGATCGGCTATGTCGCCTCCGACTACTCGTTTGTGATGGTGAACTGGACGGACTCCGATCGAGCAAATTAATGACTTCGACGTTTTGATCCCTGATAAAATATTTTTGGTTTATGAATTTCCAGTCAGGTCACAACAACAACAACAACAACAACAAAATTTGTTTTTCTCACTTTATTTATTTTTTATTTCTTTTAAACGTGAGAATTTTCTTTTTTTTTTTATTTTTATACAAAAAGTTTTTTTTTTTTTTTTTTTTAAATAAAGAAAAAAAGAGACATTAATAAAATTATTTAAAAAATTAATTTTTTTTTTTTTCAATTATCCCCTGTACTCGGTCATTCCTTCCTTGTCTTATCCTGAAAATCAAATAATTAATAATTTACCACAAAAAAAAAAAAAAAAAAAGCAAAAATTATTTTTGAACACGTGACGAAATTAATTAAAAACTTTTGCAGTTCTATTGTGTTCAATGCAATGCCTGAATCATACCTGATTCGAAACCTGAAACAAAACTAATGAGTAAATTTTTTCTTTTTTTTTTTTAAATTTGATGTAGCTAAATTAAAAAAAAAAAAAAAAAAAAAAAAAAATTAATAAATAAATTTTTAAAATTAGAATCCCATCCTTCTCCTTCTTCCCCTCCTTCCTCTTACTCCAAATTTAATTTTTACTGAAAATATTTTAATAAGATATGTATAATTCCACATCCTGAAAAAAAATAATTTTTTTGTTTTTTTTTAACTCGAATAAAATAAAATAAAATAAAATAGAATAAAAAAAAATATTCATGAGCTTTTTAATATGTAAATAACATCAAAGATTTTTTTTTTCAAACCCTTTTTTTTTTTTTTTTTTTTTTTCCAAAGTGTCATAGAAATCAGAGAAAATTTTACAACATTAAAAAGCTCTTTTTTTTTTTTTTTTTTTTTTTTTCGATAGATTCACGTATATCAGCCAATTTATTACGATTTATCGCAGTCCTTTTTCTTACACAACTTCCTGGAAAAAAAAATCTAAACGACATTAATGTCAAATATATATATATATATAAAAAAATTTCGCATAAAAAACCGAAAAAATGTCATTATAATTTTTGTTAGGAAAAAAAAAAAAAAATGGCATCAATTTATTTATCGGTTATCACACCCTGATAACTTCAAATAGTTTTTTTATTAATTTTATGTAATAATTATATAATTATTAATTATGTTTAAATTTTTTTGTTTTGTATGTGTGACAAAAATTATTTTACATTTTCTTTTTTTTTTTATTTATTTATTTATAGGTTTAGTTCAACTCGTGTGTAATGTTTTTTTTTTTTTTTTTGTTTCGTCTGTTTTTCTTTTTTTAAATAGATATTTAACATAAAAAATAAAAACAGTTTGGACATTACCTTAGATAGTAAAAGTTGAGATGAATCCAGTGAGTCATCAATGAACTTACCTTTCCTGATATTTTCAATTTAACGAACTCAATCATCATATTTATTTAGTATCATTTATTTTTTTTATTTATAAAAAAAATATATATATATAAATTTCCCTCACTATGAATGTAAATAAAAAAATAAGCCTCACAGTTTAATTCAAAAAAAAAAAAATTTAAAAAAAAAAAAAAAAAAAAAATTTTTCGTTCTTATTTAATTTAAAATAAAATTAAATTACTTTTAATATCGACTGTTATTCACATTTGCCCCCCCTCCCCCTCCCTCCCTTTATTTTCAAATATTATTAAATCATCAGAATATTTTTCATAAAATATTTTTAATTTTAAGGTTTTGAAAAAAAAAAAAAAAAAAAAAAAAGTTATGTAAAATATGTAATATATTAATAAATTAAAACGATGGCAACCCTGAGAACAACGCATCGATTGCGTTCGTTATTTTGTAAAAAGTTTTTTTTTTTTTAAATTAATAAAACACCTCAAAAAAAAAAAAAAATAATAATAATAATAATTTTTTTACTCCAGCAAATGCCACAATAAATAAATAAATAAATAAATTTTAGGAATGAAAGCTAGTTACATATACAAATTAAAAAAAAAAATTAGAACGCTAACGTAAAGTATTAATAATAATATTTCAAAAGTTAGAAAATGAACAACATTTATCAAATTTAGTAAGAATTGGGGGGAGGGGAGGGGAAATGTCATTCGGTAAATTTTTTTTAACTAGAAAAATAAGAGCAGAACTCGAAAATGGAATTCGTTTCGTTAAAACGTAAAAAAATAAATAAAACTCATTAATTATTCATACGTCACGTACGAACGACAATACTATTTCAATTAAGAAAATGAATACGAATTAAAATGGCCGTCATTTTCGCATTTGTCCCTGTTTTTTTTTATTAAAAAAAAAAAAAATTAACGCGTTAAATTTTAATGTAGTTTCAAATAATAACAAATACATTACTTGATTACATGTTTTCCTACTTGAACTTTCATTCCAAAACTTTTTAATAATTTAAATATTATGATTACTAAACGATGATTATTATCATTAACTTTTTTTTTTTTTTTTTTTCAAAAAAGAGAAAAAAATATCGAAATAAAAAAAATAACGGTTGCATAATATATATTATTCGTGGTCGTGGAAAAAATTTTTTATTCCGATTTAAAATTAAAATTAAAAATTATTTTAAAAAAAAAAAAAAAAAAAATTTTTTTTTTTTAAAACTTACCGTTCATTTGATTCGTCGTCAATGCATTCGACTTCTGAATCTTGAGTATCTGTTCTATGGCCCTGTTTTGGGTATCCAGGTGGAGGAACACTTAAATCCGGCAGTGAATTTGATGCCACGGGTTCTTGGTACTGTTTCAAATCACATTCAGAAGCGAACGGAAGTTTCTGAAATGATATTTTTTTTATATTAATAAATGAGTACAAACAAAATCCACCGAGTCTCTGCCAACAAAAGGTTATTTAATTTTTTTTTTTTTTTAAATGATTTCTGAATTAAAAAATAATAATTTTTCCAAAAATTTCTATGGAGTTTTTCTTTTTTTTTTTTTTTACCGCAGATTTCAATCAATAAGCTAAAAACTTTCAAACTTTTAATGTTTACATATATAAATCCATAAAAATTTTATTTTAATAATAATTTTAAAAAATATTTTTTATTTTAAAAATTTAAAAACAAATCTTACCGGTACGGTTTGTGCTAAATGTTTGTCAAATTCTTCTTCTTGTTGTTTCATTTCTTTCAATTTTCTCATTTTCTCTTCAACTTCCAATTGCTGCTGCCGTAATTGATGCTGCGACATTTGTTGCTGAAGAGCTGTTAATTGTCTTAAAATTTCAGGATTTTGTAAAATACTGGAAAAAAAAAAAAAAAATTATAACATTTAGAAAGTCCAAAAAAAAATATTTTACAAACAAATTTTTTTTAAAAAAAAAATAAAAAAAAAAAGATATTATACTTAATAATTCTTAGTTTTTTTTTTTTTTTTCCCATATTTGACCTAACAATTTTTTTTTTTTTTAAAAATTAATATTTTATTTTATTTTTATTAGCCTGATAGTAAATTTAAAAAAATATTGACTTAGTCAAAGTAATAATTTTAAACAAATTTTAAATAATTAAAATTATGCATACTTATTAAAATTATCACTATTATTCGCTTGCTGGTGAGGTGAAGTATTCTCTTCATCATCATCATCATAATCAAAATCTAATAATTTTCTATCAAATACAATTTGATCTTGAGACTTTTCCGACTTTTGGCTAACCTGAGTTGTTTGACTAAGAATAAATTGTTGTAATTGTTGAATTTGTTGTAAAATGTCTAAACTGCTTGTAGCAGATGACTGAAATGAAAAAAAAAAAAAAAAAAAAAAAGTTTTTAATTAAAAATTACATTAAATAAACCTAAAATAACTTTATTATTTTATTTAATACTAATTATGCATTTAATGTTAAAAAATCGGTAATCACCTTAGATTGTGATATTGAAGTTCCTGTTAATTCATAAATTGCTTTATTGGCTGCATCTATTTGTGACTGTGCTAGCTTCACCCAATGAGGTGTGTTAGTATCACTTTGTAAATTCAGTCCTGTTTTGTTTGAAAAACCTAAAATCATTTTAAAAATATCAATACATTAAAAAGTCTGAGAAATATATACTTATTTAACCTGAGAAGTAATATGAATTAATATACAACCTGAAGATTTAGAAACATTATTAGGTGAAGTATGACCTGCAGATGTATTTAATCCATTGCTGGCAGCTAAGTTTTCTCTATGGATAGGATTATTGGGATCTGCCAATTGATCAAAAAGCGGTTGGATAACATCTGGAGTAAACACTGAATTTTTTTGCCATAAATTTAAAACTCTTATTATTTTTCCCTTGTCCTCTGGTGGGCAATTGAAAAGATTGGCAAATGTATTTTGCATATTTTTTGCAAATCTTGGAGCAAACAAATCCTTATCAGGTCCAAATTGATGCCTTGATTGACGTACAATTGAATCAATTACATATAGTCCAGGAACTTTATATTCAGGTTTGCATTTCTGAATGAATTTTTCTACACTTTGAACGACATGTTTGTAAAATTTTATAGCTTTTATAGCAGACCTAGTTATAGATGACATTTTAGCTTTCGAAATAGGTGGTTTTACTTCATACAGAGCTGAAAGCTGAAAATTAATTTTAAAAAAAAAATTAAATTAACTATTTTTACAATAATGCCATTTTATATGTTTTATAATATTCCTAATCTAACATTATATCTTATAAAAAAACGTCACCGTTTTGTAAAATTGTATAAATAAAAAATAAATAAATTTCTAAAATTGTCTTCATTTCCGTACTTTTATTGTATATTAATTGTAACATTAAAAAACTTGATTAACACTTAGCAGATAAAATTTTTCATCTTATTTAAAATACATTAATAATACTTAATCAAAAATTAATGTGATAGTTATTATTCAATTTAAAATAATTTTCAATGTACAATTTAAGTACCGAAAGAAATATTTAACGCAAACCCCGAAATGGCAAGAACATTATTTGAATTTGTAAGTGGAGTATATACATACATACTTAAAAATCTGCCCGACTAAAAATCTAAACTCACAATTCTAGTTTTATTTAAATAGGATAATTTACTAACCTCATTATTAAAAGCCTTTACTGCATCCATTATTATTTATTTAGTTAAACTTTATTTTTTCAAATACTACCGAAAAAAGGAACTAAACATCCTTATTTTACAGAAATAACTTAAGAACATAAATACGAAGCTCATTTTTACATAAATGGCTACCGAATTTTCAGTTTAGCCAACTACTGACAAAGCTTTAATAAAAAAATTCGTTTAGAAAATTCCTAAATAAAATAAATATGAAAATGATAAAATTATAAAATAATATATTTTATTAAAAAAATAATAATAATTAAATTTCAATGATTTAAAAATATAAAAGATAAAAAACTTTGAAAAAAAATTTTTTTATACAATTTTTTTATTAAAATTTCTGAACGAACCCTGTTCAATTCTATTTATTCATACATCAAACTGTACACCGGCATTCTGTGCTACCGCTTGAAAGAAGTAGGTCTTACTTGTCAGCGATTGTAATTTTTTTAAAATGGCAGCCAAAGCAGTTTGCGTTTTAACTGGAGACAAAGTTAAAGGAGTTATTAATTTTTCTCAACAAGTAAGTTTTTAAATGTATCATAAAATATTTTTATAAATAATTTTACAAGTTTAATTTTTTTTTTTTTTTTTAATTAGAGGTTACTTAATTTTTTTCACAATTTTAAAACTATTTCACAAATTGTCAAAAATATTTTTGAATGTAATTGTATTAAAAATGAAACAATTCATTTATAATTTTTTTTTTTTTTTCTTTAGAGCCCAACCGATCCAGTTGTAATTTCGGGAGAAGTCTCAGGATTAACCGAGGGCAAGCATGGATTTCACGTTCATGAATTCGGAGACAACACCAACGGTTGCACCAGTGCAGGTGCCCATTTTAATCCATTCAATAGAGATCACGGAGGTCCAGATGCTGCTGTAAGGCATGTTGGAGATATGGGTAATATTGTGGCAAACAATCAAGGAGTAGCTACTGTGAAACTGAGTGATACAGTTATGTCACTTTCTGGACAAACCAGCATTATTGGCAGAACTGTTGTTGTTCACGCAGACCCAGATGACTTGGGACTCGGTGGTCATGAACTTAGTAAAACTACCGGTAATGCTGGTGGAAGAGTTGCTTGTGGGGTCATAGGTATTGCTAAGGTATGAAGTGATAATATTCAAATATAATTTTAAAGGTTAAAATTGTTAGAATTTTGTTTTGTCATGATTTATTTTAAAAAAAAAAAAAATAAATAACGAGAAAATGTATTTATTTACACTTATATATATATATGTATGTTAAAGTTTTTTTTTTACATGCAAAATGTAAATGTTTCAAAATAAAAATGTCACAATTCTTATGTAATAAATAAGTGTTGAAAAAAATGTTTTTTTTTTTTTTTCCCCCCTAATATTTTTCCTGTATTCCATAACATGTAAAAAAAAAAAAAAAAAAAAAAAAAAAACTTGAAGTACGATTTCACCAAGTATTTTACTTTACTAAAAAAAATATTTTAATATATTAAAATAACCTCTTTTACGTTATAATTATTTACAATTTGCACTTTATTTAAAATTTCCTTATATAAAATTTTTAATAAGGAAATAATAATAAAAATTTTATTAACAATTTTTTTAATAGAAAT